GTTTCTTCCGCGCGGGACCGCAAGAGGATCCTGCGCCGCTCATCCGCGGGGGCGTCGCAGGCGATGGCAGCGACCTCCGGGGCGCGAAGGAGGTGCGGTCCGCAGGGTCGCGGCAGAACCCGAAAAAGAGCTGCGCTGCCTTATGGGTTCGCGTGGACAGAAGGAAGTTGGCGGTGAGGTCCACCCTGAGCCCGTCGCGAGGCTATGGTCCCAAGACAGCCGAGTCCCAGAAGGCCATTTTTCTGGGTGGTCCACCAGACGCTGCAGCAGGACATGGGAGCGTAGCCGGGCTCGTCCTGGCTACGCTACGCCCCGTCGAGCAAGTCGGCCCTGTGAAGGCTTCGGTAATTGACGTAAACAGAATGGAACCATCACTAAGAAAAGAGAAGAAACAGTCAGAGCTGCACCCGTCGTGCCAACGACGCTGCGGACGGCCTCTCGTGCGACGCGGCTGGCTCCTACTCAGCGCCGCGCACGCAACCGGTGGCCATTGCGTGCGCAAGTGTGGGCAGCGGTGGCGCGCTGCCAGGCGTCAGCCGGCTCAGCAGATGCCATTCGACGCGCAGGCACGGGCAGGTATGGTCGTCGGCGGGGAGCGTGCGCGGCACGGGGATGAAATCGGGGGATCCGTGGCCTTCTCAGAGTCGCCTTGGCTCAAGCAGTGGCGAAGCGTCCTGGCTCGCCGAATAGCCCTACCAAACAATGTTCTGAGAACTTCTTGTGGTTCCCACGAAATGTTCTTAGGACATGTCTGGCGGAGTCTGTCTTGTTTTAGCACATCGGGTTTTTGTTATAAGAACATTGTTTTTGCTCTTAGAACCTTGTTGGGTTCTAAGAACAGTTCGTGGTGTGACTATAGGAATGCCTGGACGGTCGGTCCCTGCTCAATTGGCGCAGGTCCTAGAGGCCGGGCGTCATGGTCAGCTCCCGGAGTTCCGACTGCTCCGTGGCGTTCGCCAGCAGCATGGCGGCATTGCGGACGCAAGAGGTCCAGGCAGGGCAGGCGCTGCGGGCGCGCTTGACGAGGTCGACGCCGAGCGCGACGTCTGTCCGCGCGGCGAGGAAGCGCCGGTTGTGGTCGGGATCGGCTGGAGGCTCGGCCGCAGCAAGGTGATCCAAGCGCCAGGTGCGGAGGAGGTGCTCGCCAGTCGCCCGCGCCCCGACCCCAGAACCTGGGGAACCGCATGGTGCCGGGGACCAGCTCTATGACGCGAGTGCGGCCTGACCGCCTGGCGTAAAGACCAGGGCATGCGAGCCAGCGTTAGGCGCTCCTGGCGACTATTGAAAGACCTCTCGGAAAACTGTTGGAGGCGGTTTGGTGTGTGTGTGTGTGTGTCTGTGTGTCTGTGTGTCTGTGTGTCTGTGTGTCTCTGTGTCTCTGTGTCTCTGTGTCTCTGTGTCTGTGTCTCTGTGTGTCTGTGTCTCTGTGTGTCTGTGTGTCTGTGTGTCTGTGTCTCTGTGTCTCTGTGTCTCTGTGTCTCTGTGTCTCTGTGTGTCTGTGTCTGTGTCTCTGTGTGTCTGTGTCTCTGTGTCTCTGTGTCTCTGTGTCTCTGTGTCTCTGTGTCTCTGTGTCTCTGTGTCTCTGTGTCTCTGTGTCTCTGTCTCTGTGCCTCTGTGCCTCTGTGTCTCTGTGTCTCTGTGTCTCTGTGTCTCTGAGTCTCTGTGTCTCTGTGTCTCTGTGTGTTTGTGTCTCTGTGTGTCTCTGTGTGTCTGTGGTCGTGTGTCTGTGTCTCTGTGTCTCTGTGTGTCTGTGTGTCGTGTGTCTGTGTGTCTGTGTGTTTGTGTCTCTGTGTCTCTGTGTCTGTGTTGTGTCTGTTGTCTGTGTGTTGTGTGTTTCTGTGTCTGTGTGTCTGTGGTCTGGTGTCTGTGTGTCTGTGTGTCGTGTGTTGTGTCTGTGTGTCGGTGTGTGTGTGTGGTCTGTGTGGGTGTCGTGTTCCTGTGTCTGTTTGGGATGGTGTTGTTTGGTGTCTGGCGTGTGTGTCTGGGTGTGGTGTGTGTCGTGTGTGTGGTGTCTGTGTGTGTGTGTCTGTGAGTGTGTGTCTGTGCGTGTGTGTCCGTGTGTGTGTGTGTGTTCGTGTGTGTGTCCGTGTGTGTGTGTGTCCGTGTGTGTGTCCGTGTGTGTGTGTGTGTGTCTGTGTGTGTGTCTGTGTCTGTGTGTGTGTCTGTGTGTGTGTGTCTCTGTGTGTGTGTGTGTGTGTGTCTGTGTGTGTGTCTGTGTGTGTGTCTGTGTGTGTCTGTGTGTGAATGTGTGTGTGTGTGTGAATGTGTGTAGGTGTGTGTCTGTGTGTGCGTGTGCGTGTGCGTGTGTGTGTGTGTGTGTGTGTCTGTGTCTGTGTCTGTGTCTGTGTCTGTGTCTGTGTCTGTGCCTGTGTCTGTGCCTGTGCCTGTGCCTGTGAGTCTGTGTGAGTGTGTGAGTGTGTGAGTGTGTGAGTGTGTGTGAGTGTGTGAGAGTCTGTGTGAGAGTCTGTGTGAGAGTCTGTGTGAGAGTCTGTGTGAGAGTCTGTGTGAGAGTCTGTGTGAGTGTGTGAGTGTGTGAGTGAGTGTGAGTGTGTGTGAGTGTGAGTGCGTGTGAGTGTGAGTGTGTGTGTGTGTCTGTGTGTGTGTCTGTGTGTGTCTGTGTGTGTCTGTGTGTGCGTGTGTGTGCGTGTGTGTGTCTGTGTGTGTGTCTGTGTGTGTGTCTGTGTGTGTGTCTGTGTGTGTGTGTCTGTGTGTGTCTGTGTGTGTCTGTGTGTGTCTGTGTGTGTCTGTGTGTGTGTGTGTCTGTGTGTGTGTCTGTGTGTGTGTGTCTGTGTGTGTGTCTGTGTGTGTGTCTGTGTGTGTGTCTGTGTGTGTGTCTGTGTGTGTGACTGTGTGTGTGACTGTGTGTGTGACTGTGTGTGTGACTGTGTGTGTGACTGTGTGTGTGACTGTGTGTGTGACTGTGTGTGAGACTGTGTGTGTGTGACTGTGTGTGTGACTGTGTGTGTGCCTGTGTGTGTGACTGTGTGTGTGACTGTGCGTGTGACTGTGTGTGTGACTGTGTGTGTGACTGTGTGTGTGACTGTGTGTGTGACTGTGTGTGTGTGACTGTGTGTGTGTCTGTGTGTGTGTCTGTGTGTGTG